TTCATTGCTTTAATGAGGTTTCACTTTAATAAATTTTCTAATGTTAAGACCATCTTGCACTCCTGAAAAAAATCCCAATTTTTAATGGTGCATAATACTTGCTATATGTTACTAGATTCCATTTACTAATATTTTGTTTAAGATATTTATATCTATATTCATAAGAGATATTGGTCTCTTTTGCATTGTGGTTATAACATCTTCAGTTGTAGTATTGGTAATATTGGCTTTATAGGATGAGTTGAGAAGTGTTTCCTACTTTTCTGTTTTTAGAAGAGTTTATGCATTATTAATATTAATTCTTTAAATGTTTGACAGAATTTGTACCTAAACTTCTTTCTAGGAAATTTTTACATTACTATTTTTCTTGAGTCAGTCTCAATATTTTATGTTTTCCTAAGAATTTTTCCATTTCATCTAAGTATCTAATATTTGGTGCCTACATTTGTTCATAGTATTCTACTGTGATTCTTTTTATAATTTCTACTAGAGGCCTGGTGCACGAAACTCCTGCAGGAGTAGGCCTTTCTTTCCCCGGCTGCCGGCACCAGCTTCCCTCTGGCACCGGGACCCGGGCTTCCCTCGCAGCCCTGGCTTCATCCAGAAAGTCATCCGGAAGGATGTCTGGTCTAATTAGCATAAATTATAGATAAATTTGGTAGTATTATCTCCTTCCTCATTCCTTATTTTAGCTATTTTAGTCTTCCCTCTCTCTCATCAATTGAAGAGTAGAATATGACTTTAGGTAAAGTGTAGTGAAAGATGTTTGCTTTATAGAAATAAATATAATATATTAATAGGAAACTATTATTTTCCCAACCAAATTATTTGACTCTGTCTTCAAGCAAACTATATATAACTTTTCACATGTTCATAGCAGCACAATTCACCATAGCTAAGATTTGGAAATAGCCTAAGTGCTCATTAATAGATGAGTGGATTAAAAAACTGTGGTACATCTACACAATGGAATACTATGCGGCGGTAAAAAAGGAGTTCTTACCACTTGCAACAGCATGGATGGAACTAGAGAGCATTATGCTAAGTGAAATAAGCCAGTCATAGAAAGATAAATATCACGTGATCTCACTCATTTATGGAATATAATGAACAACATAAACTGATGAACAAAACCAGATCCAGAGACAGAGAAGCATCAACCAGACCTTCAAACCTCAGAGGGAAGGTAGGGGAGGGTGGGGTAAAGGGGAGAGATCAACCAAAGGACTTATATGCTAGCATATAGGCCTAACCAAAGGACACAGACATCAGGGGGGTGAGGGCATGAGTGGGGGGATGGGGGGTAATGTGAAGATAAGGACACATATGTAATAATTTAATCAATAAAAAAATTTAAAAAATAACTTTATAATAAAAGTGGTAGATGCAATAGCAATATGTGATTATAAGTTATTTTAGCAATCTCATTATTGATAATGAAAAGCTAACAAAGACACCATCTTTTTTATTTTTACTGTTGTTTTACACAAATTGTTTGTAAATAGTGATAGACATTTTTAAAAAGATTAGTATGCACGATAATCTAGTAAAATCATTTTTATCTCCTAAACTTTTAAAATCTTAAAAAATATATACTTCTTACTATTATCTCATTTCTTTATCTACAAAATATGATTAATTACACTAATCTGGGGATATTTTGCTGCAAAGATTCAAGATATAAAGAAAAATCTGGAATGTAGTTTTTGCTACATAACAAGGAAAACTTATATAATAAAAGGCTGCTTTATTCAGATGCCGAATATCCCAAATGCTTAATGTTGTTGAAGCTGTGGCATGCTGCAGAAAGTTAAATAGTTTAATATATGAAGTCTGTCTTTTATTTAATCAGTACTTTGGAAAGAAAGAGAGAACAACTAGATCAGGTGTCACAAGTCATCCATTGTTTTCACCCAGCATATTTATAAATGCTTTTCCCTAGGCTTTGCTTAATTATATTTTTGGGTTCCTGTATATATTTATTTTTTATTCTTTTTTTTATTAAATCTTTATTGTTCAGATTATTACAGTTGTTCCTCTTTTTTCCTCCCATAGCTCCCCTCCACCCAGTTCCCACCCCACCCTCTGCCCTTACTACGCCCCCACCACTGTCCTCAACCATAGGTGTACGATTTTTAGATTATTACTGTTCCTCTTTTTTCCTCCCATAGCTCCCCTCCACCCAGTTCCCACCCCACCCTCTGCCCTTACTACGCCCCCACCACTGCTGTCAACCATAGGTGTACGATTTTTGTCCAGTCTCTTCCCGCACCCCCCACACCCCTTTCCCCCCCTGAGAATAGTAAGTCCACTCCATTTCTATGCCCCTAATTTTATTATATTCACCAGTTTATTCTGTTCATCAGATTATTTATTCACTTGATTTTTAGATTCACTTGTTGATAGATGTGTATTTATTGTTCATAATTTGTATCTTTACCTTTTTCTTCTTCTTCCTCTTCTTAAAGGATACCTTTCAGCATTTCATATAATACTGGTTTGGTGGTGATGAACTCCTTTAGCTTTTTCTTATCTGTGAAGCTCTTTATCTGACCTTCAATTCTGAATGATAGCTTTGCTGGATAAAGTAATCTTGGTTGTAGGTTCTTGCTATTCATCACTTTGAATATTTCTTGCCACTCCCTTCTGGCCTGCAAAGTTTCTGTTGAGAAATCAGCTGACAGTCGTATGGGTACTCCCTTATAGGTAACTGACTTTTTTTCTCTTGCTGCTTTTAAGATTCTCTCTTTGTCTTTTGCTCTTGGCATTTTAATTATGATGTGTCTTGGTGTGGTCCTCTTTGGATTCCTTTTGTTTGGGGTTCTCTGCACTTCCTGGACTTGGAAGTCTATTTCTTTCACCAGGTAGGGGAAGTTTTCTGTCATTATTTCTTCAAATAGGTTTTCAATATCTTGCCCTCTCTCTTCTTCTGGTACCCCTATAATTCTGATGTTGGTACGCTTGAAGTTGTCCCAGAGGCTCCTTACACTATCTTCGTATTTTTGGATTCTTTTTTCATTTTGCTTTTCCGGTTGGGTGTTTTTTGCTTCTTCGTATTTCAAATCTTTGACTTGATTCTTGCGATCCTCTGGTCTGCTGTTGGGAGTCTGTATAATATTCTTTATTTCAGTCAGTGTATGCTTAATTTCTAGTTGGTCCTTTATCACAACATCGAGGGTCTCACTAGATTTCTTAAGGATCTCAATACATTTATCGGCGGTTTCCATAAAATTCTTGAAAAATCTTAGAACCGTGGTTTTGAACTCTATATCCAGTCGTTTGCTGTCCTCCATTTCTGTCATTTGTGACCTGTTTCTTTGTCTTCGCATTTTGTCTGCTTCCCTGTGTTGGTAGAGTGGTTTTGTGTGCTAGGTGTCCTACAGGGCCCAGTGGCTCAGCCTCCCCAGTTACCTGAGGTGGACACTCTTGGTGCACCCCCTTGTGGGCTTTGTGCACAGTCTTGTTGTAGTTATGCCTTGATTGTTTTAGGTGTCACTGGGAGGAATTGACCTCCAGGCCAATTGGCAGTGAGAATCAGCTGTGTCTGCAGTGGGAGAACTTCTGTGCTGAAGACACCCTTCTGGGGCAAGACTTGCTTCAGTGGGGCTTTGGTGCTCACTGAGTCTGCCCCCTGAGTGTGTTCCTTATGAATCTGAGGAGTTGTAATCTGGGTGGTCCCACTCTGACCACTGGGTACACTGGCTCTTGGATCTAAGGAGGTGCTAATTAAGCCTCTTCCTGAGGTTACCCAGCAGGAGCTATGAAGAGATATGCAGTTGGGATGGGGTCTCAGGGAGTCAACAGGGCGGGGCAAACAGCTATGGCTCTCCTCAGTCCTACCCTAAGAGGTCCCGTGTCTCAGTGTCCCAGTAATCGCTGCAAGCACCTCTGAGAGAAAGCCGTCCTTGAGTTCCGACCGATGCCAGACAGTCCAGTATGAGTCTTGGTCCTCAGAGACTCGCCCTGAACTGGAGTTCAGAGCAGTCGGGAGCTTGAGACTCCCTCTGGATTACAAAAGACAACCGTGTCCTCAGTTGCCAGCCCTTGCTGGGTGTGCCTCCGTACCCCTGCACTTCACTTCTGCACCTCCTCTGAGTCTCAGTGTGCTTTTCTCTTTCCTTCTAGTTGTAGAATTTCCACTCAGCCAGCATTTTGTGGTTCTGGATGATGTCCGTTTTGTCTTTTAGTTGTATTTTTGAAGTGGTTGTGCGAGGCAGCAATTTCCAGTGTTTACCATGCCGCCATCTTGGTTTCTCTCTATTTTTTATTCTTTATCATTGAAAGTATTACGTATGTTCCCCTTTTCCCCCATTGACATCTCACAGCCTGCCTCCGCCTCCCAGCTAGAATTTCAACCCCCTATTGTCTGTGTCCATTGGTTATGCATATATGCATACAAGTTCATTGGTTGATCTCTTCCCACCTGCCCACCCTCCCCTGCCTTCCCTGGGTTCCTGTATATTTTTAATCAAGTTGAAATAATGAGCATTCTTCCAAGCACTGAATGCTCAGTAAGCCTGTTTGTTGCCCTTGGAAAAGGTTCTACTGTCATTTGTGGTGAACTGTATTCCAGCTCCCATCGTATTTCTGTGTGTAGTCAGGGTACCAGCTCAGTTTCCAAAAAGCAAAAGCTAAGCAAAGAAAGGGATGGTCTCAATTAATTTGATATTCACTATTAAGAGTCATTGTTGAGAAAATCCATTAAAAATAAGCCTAAACATGAAATAAAGAAATACTATTAGTTTTATTAATTCGATAAAAAAGAAAGAAGAAACAGTGTCTAGTTTTGGAACCTTGCTAACCTCCAAATAAGGCTTGCCTTCCAGATTTATCTTTTTCTGACTGGGGTCTTTAAAAGAGTCCTAAATTTAGCCTTTTCTTTATACTACTAGACTTGAGAGACACTATATTCTCACCAACTTATTACTCAAAATTTGAGCCTTTCCAATTTAGAACTTAGAGCCCTGTTTTCTTTATACTTAACTCAACTCAGAACCTTCTTTTTTTTTTTTCTTTTGAGAAACTCAATTTATTTCCGTGATAGAGGCTGAAGGATCTGGAGCTCCAGCCCGGTCTCCTGCCCCCTCCCCTTTTGTCCCAGAGAAGAGGGGCTTGGCCAAGAGTGCCATCTGGGGTCTAAAGAGACCCAGGGTAGCTTCTTGGCTTGAAGGCCCATTCAAACAGGATGGCAAGAAGACCTTCAGCAGGGTCACTTGGGTGGACGATATGCCAGCTTCCGGCTCTTCAGTACTGACCACTTATGCCGCTTCATGGCGTAGACCAGGGGCAACAGCAAGCCCATCATCATCAACATCTTGAGCCCCATGAGTTTCCGATGGTCATGCTCTGGCTCGGATGCCCAGCGCAGGAAGGTGCACACATCCTTGGCTACCTGGGACATGGTAGCTGGGGTGCCATCGTCAAACTCCAAGACCTCGTCGTAGATGGGAGGAGCCATGCCAATGGACTGGTCAGGGAAGTAGGGGTTGAAGTAGAGGCCTTCTCATAGCGACACCCTGGTGGGCGGCTCACAGTAGCCCGTGAGCAGGGAGAAGACGTAGTCTTCACCACCGTGCCTAGGACCAAATCCATGCCGCCTCAGCCTCTGGCAGGAGTGGGACCTGCCTCCCCTCCCGCCAGCCCTGCGGGAAGCCTGCGTACCTAGCTCGCACGATGTAGCTGAGGTCAGGGGGCACGGCTCCATTGTTGGCTGCTCTGGCAGCCTCAGGGTTGGGGTACAGTTTGGGGAAGTAGTCAGACAGCTTTCCGGGTCGCATGAACATCTCCCCATCATCATTGAGGCCGTCCTGAATCTCCACCTCTTCGGCCAGGGCTTTAGCTTCATCCTCAGTGTAGCACATGCCCACCAGGTGGCGGTAAGCCACGTAGTCCATGCTGTGGCAGGAGGAGCACACCTGCTTGTATACCTGGAAGCCCCTCCGGATGCTGGTGTGGTCCAGGGAGGAGAGGAGGCCGCGGTGAGACCACGGGTAGCTGGGCGGGGGGCGTGCGTGCAGCTCCAGGTCGCTGGCACTCACGGCCCACGGCCAGCCCTGCACCCCCTGCCGCCAGCATGCCCAGCACGGACAGCATCACTTTTCGGCCCCGGGACAGACTAGACTTGGACGACAAGGACACTGCCTGAGGCGTCC